AAAAGAGCTCAGAAATTGTCTTTATTTTGTGGGGACACACCAGAATTTAGAAAAATTTCAATTAGTCCTAAAATTTCTTAGTTTACAAAATCACCAGACTTTGGGATGAGTAGTCTTTACATAACTCTTTGAATAGATGTAGTTTCTGATTTATAAACTTGATGATTACAGCCACAGTTTCATTACCAAAACACAGTTGGAAAACATCCCATGGAGTTTTGGGTCCTATTCCTGATGGTACTCCTGGTTGAATTCTCATAATACTAGCCAGTTGTCTCCCTTGATCCATTATCCGCTGTGAGTCCCAGATCATTCCTGATGGTGCTGTCACCCGAGCTGCAGACTGATCTGTGTGTACAGCTGGGCGTGGTCTTCTTCTCTTGGGCTTCATAATTTGCATTTCTTTTCCATCATCATCATCATCATCTTCTTCTTCTTCCTCAGAACAAATAATTTCACGTTCTGCCTCTACAAACTCTTCTTGTTCACTCTCTGAACTAGTGAACTGTCCTCATCATTTTCTTCAAAATCTGACACTATCAGTTCTTCTTCCATCCCACCTACTGATAGACATTGCCTCTTCACCAGATTTGTCTAACCACGTGCAGAAACTCCTGGGCTGACAGCACTCCTACCATGTCAGACCTGCCTGTGGTGACCCAGAGGCTGGCTTGAACTCGGCATCCACAGCTGGTCCATACATGTTCGCATGTGCTCCTGGACCCCGATTTTGGGTTCTTCCTAAAAAGTTGTCATTGGGCAGCGCCTATGGCTCAGTGAGTAGGGCGCCGGCCCTATATACCGAGGGTGGCAGGTTTGAACCCAGCCCCTGCCAAACTGCAACAAAAAAAATAGCCAAGTGTTGTGGCAGGCTCCTGTAGTCCCAGCTACTCAGGAGGCTGAGGCAAGAGAATCAGCTAAGGCCAAGAGCTAAGGTTGCTGTGAGCTGTGATGCAATGGCACTCCACCCAAGACAATAAAGTGAGACTCTGTCTCTAAAAAAATAAATAAATAAAAGAAATATAAAGTTGCCATTGACAGCATAGGATTCCCACAGTGTGATACAAGTTCTTTTGGCATTGCCCTGAGTTCTTGTAGAGCCAGAAAGTGTTTTTAGTGAGTAAGATAAAGTCAGATGCTAAGGACTAAGGCCTAGAGCTGCTCTCAGTGTGGTGGCCACTGGCCATGTGGGGCTGTGCCACATTTGAAATGTGCTTGTTGCGATATGGGCTGTAAACAGTGGAAAAGACACACCAGCTTTTGAAAATTCAGTATAAAAAATGTAAATGACTTCTTATTAATTTTTATACCAGTTACATGCTGAAATGATAACTTTTCAATATATTAGGGTAAATAAAATAAAGCATATATTAAAATTAATTTTACCTTTTTTTTACTTTTTAAAATGTAGCTATTAAAATTTTTTAAAAGTACATACGTGGTTTGCATTTTTGGCACATGTTATATTTTAATGGGACGGCGTGGGTCTGGAGGAACAGTACTAGTGGCCATTATGGAGTCTACAGCTTTTAAAACATTATACCACAAACAAATTAAGTAAAATTATTGAAACTGAATCAGGTATCTAACTTGAAAACCCAGAACTTCGGGTAAAGACATCAAGATAGGCCAGTTGGTGACTGTCTTGTTACTTAAGATAATACAAATACTAAGTCTGATTACTTTAAGGGAAAAAATAGGTGGCTTGCTTGAGTGGGAGAGAGTGAGGTCTTCAGTTATCTGGATAAACTCTTTGCACATTTGTTCACAAGAGTGGGGAAAAAAACTTGCACATACTAACTTTATTGGATATTTATAACTGCTGCCGGCTGTTAGAAAATGACATTTTGATTTTTTTTTCCAAAAAATAGTAAGATTTTTAATATGACAGTGCATTGCCTAAATCACATACTAAATTTCTCTATACGGGGAGATTTCACAATCCAGGATCCATAGCCATGTTCCTGAAAGTAGGATTTCAACAAAGTTTTAGCTTCTTGATAGGAGACAGATATACATTTAGCTGCATAATATGTACTAGCTTTAAGACATTTTGATTCTCAATTGTTATTAGTGTTGGTATAATTGAGTTGATTTTACAATTAGTTTTTGTTCACATTTGGTTAGAAAAATGTGGTACAGTTCCTTTCCCAGTATCAAATACAATAATTTTTTTTTTAAACAGGGTCTTGCTCTGTTTTTAGAATATAGAGATATCATCATAGCTAACTGGGATCACAGGTATGTGCCACCATGTCCAGTTAATTTTTAATTTTTAAAATTTTTAAAATTTTTTTAGAGACGGGGTCTTGCTATGTTGCCCAGGCTGTTCTCAAGCTCCTCGGCTTAAGCAATCCTTCTACTTTGGCCTCCCAAGGTGCTAGGATTATGGGCATAAGCCACTGTGCCCAACCCAAATACAGTAATTTCTTTCTTAATTGTAATTTTTTTTTTTTTT